TGCTGAGGGCAGGTCTAACTAGACAAAGTTTACCATTTAAAAACCTCAGAAAAAAGAAGCGAGTAATTTTTAAGAGAGATAAGGTACTTCCACACTTTTCTTGGACCTCTGAGAAGATTTCAGGAGTTCTGTTTTGCTCCCTGACAAAGTTCTACATTAAAATAAAATATTTTCAATGGGGGAGATTTATTTACCCTTGATAATAAAACCCACTGTTGTTCCCAGCAACGCCAAGGAGAGGATCCCTAGAATCACAATAATCCAGCAGATAGTACATGAAACAGGAGAATCTAACAAAAAGAAAAAGAACAAAAACATGAGAAAGTTGAGACTTTGTCAATGGGATCAGTTCTAAAAATACAATTTCTATGGAACTGCAGTATCCGTATAAGTATAAAAAGCACCATATTACCTCAGCCTGTGCTCGTGTCAGAGTCCAACACTATCTGAGCAGGTTCTTTTTGATATTCCACACATGCATAATTTTATATTTAATACCAAATTTACTTATCTGAAGATATGTGATGTTACATGGGATTCTGATTTAGCAGAATGAAACAGCTATGTGTTGAAAGCACAACACAAGTGCAAATTACACTTAGCAGAATATAGAGACTTCAATACGCAGCTGAATCACACTACAAATGTGATTCTCACTGCCAGGTTCTATGATATCCTCACAATTGCAACGCTGGGTGGCACCAGGAAGGAATATGTGGGTTTAAGTAGCTCAAACCTGTTGCTCTCGTCAAAGCTATTTTTGTGAGCTGGTCAGTGGTTGTACTCTATGTTAGGCTGAGCCACGTATACACTCCCCCCATGCTGGGCTGGCTAACTCAGGAGGGCATTCACACTCTGGATTAACTCAGGGACAAAAAGTTACACAATCAGCTGATTCACTCAACTGGAACAGCCAGTTGATCTAGCCAACAGATACAACTGTTAGTCTGAAAAAAAGGTCCCTCTCTGGTCCCCTTAACATTAAGTTCAACTTTCTTTCTGACAGTCATGTTCAGTCACTGCATACTTCATGTGAACATTGCACTTGCCCATCTCCTTTGAGCCTTCTCTCATTGTAGGGGCTTATTGATTAGGCACAAGTCAGGATTACTTGTGAAGTAAGAAGAGAAGTCTGAAGAGAAGTCGAAATATAATGACTGTTCTGATGTGGCATCAACAGAAATTATTAGATCACATATTACTTACCTGTTGGAGCTGCACATCTCCAACTTTAACCTACCTTGAACTGTCCATACTTCCCAACTTCAAATGGCAGGATAGAAAAGAAAAACTTTTAGCATACAAACACAAATCTCTAATTTAGACATGAAATCTGTTAGGCTGTCTATTCAGTAATGCATACATCTTTCACATTATTAACAGACTTTACCTTTGTTCTTGACGTTCTCGTTCTCCTCTGTTCTTTGTCTTCTCATCATCTGTTTCTTGGAAGAAGCGCTGTGTTTCGTATTCAGATAGATGTGCTCCTTTTTATTCCCATCACATGCTTTTAAGTGATGCTTTTTTTCACTTTGTTTTACTTGGAATTTAGAAGTCCTGTTAGCTACAAAGTCCAGGTCTGGCTCTGAATTTCCCCAAAGGTCAATAGAGCTTTCCTCCCAGCAGTCTGGAATCATTTCTAATGACTGAGTGTATTATTAACAGAAGAGTAATACATAGAAAGAATGATGTCCTAAATCAGCTTTCTGATTTAAGCAATGACAACAGCTCATTAAAAACTCTATCTTTTGTGATTAAACTGCTACTGTGACAAATGCTAGGTAGGTCAATATTAGACAAGGGGTCTTGCTGTCACAGGAAAGTGAAGGTATCTAGCTAATATAAGTAAGCAAGCTAGGCTTGACTGAGATGACAAAGGTGAGGAATTAAATTTCCTTATGTAGCAAATGGATAGATGTGATTCTAGTGGCGTAATTTGCAGAAGGCATTTCTCTCTTTCACTGCAAGCACTGTCCATAAAAGCAATACAGGTGATCAGACATACTGATTTAAAAACAAAAGTCCTTTGAGCATTTGGACAAGAAAACATTTGATCTCTATCAGACATACTGATTTAAATACAAAAGTCCTTTGAGCATTTGGACAAGAAAATTTGAGGATATTTACCTTCATTCCACAGGAGGAGGCTGAAATTCAACGGCAGCACAGGTGATGTATCTGTCCTGGTGTCCACATGCGACTCTGCAGAGTGACACAGTGATCTTTACCATCAGACTGAAACAGGAAAACTGAGAGATGAGAAAAAAGTATTGTGGTAACCCACACAGGAAAATTGCATTCTTTTGCACCAGCACAAAGCTTTACCCTTTCAGAGTTACAGTGACAAAACCTGTGCCTGCCACGGGTCACACCAAACTCTGTAGGAGCCAATTGTAATGTCACATTCACTGAGTAACAGAATACATTTAATAAGTTGAATCTGTAGAATTCATTACTAAAATCATTGGCTTGTACTGCCAGTTCTTTTCCTACAAGAACAATTTCTCTGATCTGTCCAAAACATCAGACTTTTCACCCAACTCTTTGGTCTGTGTTGAAAAAAGTTGCTCATACCTGCTTTACAGATAGGTTGAGACTTGGCTTCAGATTGAAAAGAGAAATTACAGTACCTTCAGTACATGAGGACTTCACAAATCACTCATTTTGTGAATTCTGAGAATTTATTAAAATCTGGAAGCATAATTCTGTGAACATTTGCATAATTATTTTCACTTTATAGGTTATCAGGAACATATATGTGTAATTTTGAAAGATAAAAATATTTTCCATACCTGTTCTTCACTTTCTTTTTCTTCATCCTCCATTTATTTTTAAGGATGTGGAGAAGAACTGGTCAAGGATGTAAATGCTGGGGTGAGGCTTGTCTGCAGTAACCATGAGATGGTGGAGTTCCGGATCCTGAAAAGAAGGGGAAAAAAATAAAAAGCAGACTCACAACCCTGGACTTGAGGAGAGAAGACTTTGGCTTGCTCAGGAATCTGCTTTCAAGAATCCCACGGCAGACAGTCCTGGAGAGAAGAGGAGTTCAGAATAGCTGCTTGGTTTTCAGCTCCTCTGAACTCAAGGATGGTCCATCCCAACCAGTAGGGTACAAAGCAAAACTGGTCGTGGGTCTGCACGGGTAAGCAAGGAGCTCTTGACTAAACTCAAATGTAAAAAGGAAGTGTACAAAAGGTTGAAGCAGAGTTGGGTGATCCAGGAGGAATCCCTTAGCTTGCAAAGATGGGGTTGAGAAAGCCAAAGCCTGCCTGGATTTGAATCTGATGAGGGATGTGAAGGGCAACAAGAAAAGTTTCTACAGGTACATCAGAAAGAGAAAAATGAGGGGAAAATGAGGGCCTGCTGCTGAACATGCAGTGGAGCTGGTTGCAAAGGTACAGAAAAGGGTGATACACTCTGTGACTCAGTGCCTTCTTCGTCTCAGTCTTTGCTGATGTGACTTGCCTTCAGCAATCTCAGGTCTATGAAAACTATGAGAAAGCCCAGTGCAAGGAAGACTTATCCTTGGTGGAGGAGGATCACATTAGGGAGCATTTAAACAAAATGTACATACATAAGTGCAGTCCATGGGCCCTGATGGGACACACCACAAGTGCTGTGGGAGCTGGCTGATGTCATTGCAAGACCACTCTCAATAACCTTTGAAAGGTCATGGTGATCAGGAGAGGTCCCTAAAGACTAGAAGACAGCAAATATGACTCCTCTCTTCAAGGAGGATACAGGCACCAACAGACCAGTCAGCCTGACATCAGCCCATGGGAAGCTGATGAAGCAACTAATCCTAGAAACCTTTTCCAGACACATGAAGGACAAGAAGGTGATTGGGGAGTAGTCAGCATGGATTTACGAAGGGAAAACATGCCTAACCTACCTGATAGCCTTCTACGATGAGGTGACTTGCTCCATGGATGAGGGGAGAGCTGCAAATGTTATTTATCTTCACTTTAGTAAGGCTTTTAACACTGTCTCCTGCAACATCCTCACAGACAAGCTGATGAAGTATGGAGTTGCATAAGTAGACAGTGACATGGATTGAAAACTGGCTATAGGGCTGGGTCCAGAGGGTTGTGAGCAGTAGCATGAAGTCCAGTTGCAGGTCAGTGACCAGAACCATGCTCCAGGGGTCAATACTGGATGCAGCAGTGTGCAACATTTTCATTAATGACCTAGACAATGGGGCAGAGTGCACCCTCAGTAATTTCACACATGATACAAAACTGAAAGGAGTGACTGATACAGGTGGTTGTCCCAACAGTCAGAGAGACCTAGACAGGCTGGAGAAATGGCTGGGGAGGAACCTCATGAAGTTCAATAAAGGTAAATGGAACTCACCAAACTAAATGCTGTCCTCCAGCTTGGAGCTGGTGTATACCTGTGCAGGAAGTACACATTAAAAAAAACTTAGGTTACAGACCATTCAGCTTGCATCAGGCTCCTCTTTCTTGTCACCAAAATTAAACCACAACAAATCCACATTTTGAAAAGATAACACCAGTTGACAGGAAATGCTTCTTTTGAAGACATTAGCTTCAACTAGACAGGAAGCACTGGCTTCACAAAAAGCTTTGTTGCCTGTTACATTGCTCATAGGCAGGAATGATTAATAAGAAAGCCAGTGAGGAAGATCTGAGTGCTTCTCTTTCATGATTCACATATATGTATGTCATAATGCCATTTCTTTGTGTGTTTCAGCAGTTAGACTTGCTTTGTCAACATGTCCCTAGGTTAAGAACTTAAGCCAAACACCTCTCTGTTTTGTTTGTTTGTTTGTTTGTGTAGGGTTTTGTGCTGCTCTGTTTTTTGGCTTATCTAAGACTTCAAGACTTCTCATGAAAATACAGAAATACAATTAACAACAAATAAACTCATCTAAACAGAGCAGCATACACTTTTTATAGTGTAAATTTCCTCAATGTACGGTATTGCTCCTATCTCTTCACCTCATCTTGAAGACAGGTTGTGGTGAAGAGCTGAGAGCTGCAGCTCAGCTGCGTGCATGCAAGATCACATGCAAGCTATTGGTACAATAAAGAAAGGAACAGCTGATCATTACCTGACCCAGGAAGAAATATTTGATTGCTTTCATTCTTGTTACAATGATGCAGGTGAAAAGTAATGAAGATTTCTCCAAAGGCAACAGCTCTGCTATAGCCTTTCCACAGCAAAATATTATTTTCTTACCTCCCCAAGCCCCATGCATCTCCTCCAAGTAGTGAATTTTGAAGTACTAATTATAGGAAACTGATCAAACTACTTCTGCTCACACTGACAATTAAATGCTTCTGTATGGCTATGTGGAAGGTGAAAGCATCCACTTCATTACAGTCATCTGATTAAGGACCCTTTAAATGCGAAAGAGGATAGTAAGTCACAGAGACACAAACCTGGTGCACACAAAATAACACAGATACTGCAGTGTCTCTCTTCTATGTGTTTAAATGGGAATTCTTTGCTACTTGCCCTCTGTAGCAGGAAGAAGATTTATGAAGGCCTAGAGAGTTCAAAACTACTCTTAAAAAGCTAATGGCTCATCTGTGGTTTCAGGAAATTCCAAGCATGGTGAAGCCAAACCACACCATGAAAATTCAGTATCTGTGCAACCTGTCTGATGTCACTTTTTGGACCATAACCTTTTTTTTTTCTCTCTGCCTGCACTGGACAGAACTTTGTCATCCTTAGGAAAGCTGTTGATGTTAATTCAGTCAGTCTCTTACTGAAAAGATGAAGAAACATCTGACAAAGGCAGGTAGAGATAAACCTTTATCCGTAATGAAAGACACGCTACATCTGCATTTGAGAAGGACAGTGAAACAATCCACTCTTTTCTAGTCTGCAATTCTGTATAAGCAGGTACATTGAATGCTGGTCAAATAAATACTCTGATGCATATAATTTACATGCTGTGGTCCTAAACTGCTCCTTCCTTGTCCTGTCAGAAGCAAGGGTGGGCAAACTCACTCCTGAATGAGCAGTAAAGTGAGGCGAGACAGCCGGTGCTGACCCTGACACTCGCTGCCTCTCAGCAGAGCTAATCTGCTCGGGCACAGGGTCTCACCATCATGGCTTCAAATAGACAGGAGACAGCTATGCAACAGCTGTGTTGGTTCTCCACATTTGTTCCAGAAGGAATTCTGTTTTCATGTTCTGAAAAAGCTTCCAGACTTATACATCAAGCCTAGGGCATCACCATGTGGAAAGTAAAAATCTTGTTTCAAAGAAACAGTAAACTCGTGCTTCTGGTGATGGCAAATTGTCAGATAGAAGGATTGCAAATCAGAGAGGTAACGACCACGTGCAAAGACCGTTCTGCCAGTTCTGCAGGAGTTGTGGCTCCTCTGCTTCATATGAAGTCAGTGGGGACTGACTGAATTATGCAGATAGCCCTGCCGTTTTTGGAGAAAATTTCAATGTAATA